GTGTGTGTGCAGGTGTGTATCGACACACAGTTTGCTACTGTAGCATCAGTATGAGAAAGAAGGGCGTATCAGGAGACAGGATTGAAGAGGAAGGCAGAAGTCTGACTGGAAGGGTCCTACTGGTCCTTATGATGGGTTTGTATAACTCTCACACTCAGCACCACCATCTGTGCCTGGCCCCGGCTCATGGAGCTGACTTCCTTCCAGAGCAGGTCTTCCGAACACCTTTTGCTGTATTTTATTAGTAATTTCTACATGGCAGCCTGTTAAGTGAGAGCGCCCACGTTTCTTTCTCATGTCATCCCTGGCTGGCTTTTGTTTTTTGAACAAGAGATTTTACTGAATCAACTGTTACTTATGTGGCTTCTGGAATGGAAGTTGATTTATTCTGAGTTTTCTTTCACCCAGCTATGTGTCTCAGCAGTGTTTGTTGAATGGATAAAGGATGAGCATTGTAATGTGAAAGGGCAGCACTATTTGGCTTTGTGTGTACCCCTCCGAGCTGGCTGGAGTCTCACAGTTTTCCTCTGCAACCTTGGCCAGGGCTGCCGCTGATGGCCTGGGGGCATTGGTGGGCACTGAAGTCTAAGTGGTGACCGTCCTGTAGCACGGATGGAACAACCATCCGCTTTCCACCTTCAGTGGCTGTGGAAGCCCAGACACGCTGTGGCCCGCTAGTCTGGGGTCATTGTTACATCCTTTCCACAATCTCCATTTCATTAGATTTCTTTGACTTTGGTTCTTCATAAATAGGGAATGAAAGAGTTTCCTTCTGTTAGATGTTTATTCTGTCTGCTTAAGATTTGAGGCATATTTGTTCTGATGCTGTCTACGTTCTTTTGTTCCCCTTCTTGAAATCTATTGCTGGAGAGTTAATCAGTATGGTAAAGATATTTAAGATTTCTAAATATTAGGATGATCACAACCAAGGACAATCGTAAACCATGGCATAAGTCACAATGCAAAAATATGTTATTTTATAAAGCCCACCATGAAAATGTTTTCCTAAGATAAACATAACAAGAACCCATAGGCAGATGGAAAGCATGCTTTCTGGAAAATGAAAATTTCTGGACGAGAACAAAAGACACTAGTCACCAAAGATTGATAAAAATCTTTGCATTCATTGTAAAAATACTTTTCGAAGGTGCCTTGCATTATCTTTGCCCCTTGTACTTAGGTCTGCTTGATGTGCTGATCTTAGGACTCACCGTTAATATTTTTCTGCCTCCTTTGAGCAGTGGGCACATGTTTCTGGAAATGAAAAATTTCCACTTGCAAGACTTCATCAAGACTGGAGTTATGATGAGACACTGTAATAACATTAGGATAAAGCAATTGGTTTCTGTACTTGCTTTGCCCGGATCTCTCATTGCGAATCCATTAAACTTCCCTTTCTGCCATTTGCCGTACGAATTGCCTCAACATCTCTTTGGAAAAAGGGAGGAAATGAAACACGAAGCTCTGGAAACCGGGTTGGTCTTTAGCAGGGACACCCTCCCTGGAATGCGAGGGGCTGCTCATGGGGCTGGGTAGAAAAAGAGGGGTCTTCAGGGGGAGATATTTATATTATTAGAGAGCTGGATTTCAACAAGAGCGTGTAAAGGACATTGTTGTCCATTTGGTAATTGCTATCACTGATGGAATTAAATGTTTGGACTGAAAACAGAGCAGCATAGACAGAGTGAGGCTGGTCACAAGTGACCGCTGCCTTCCAGGCAAGGTGATGGGGGTGGAGCTGTGGATTTGGTTTTCTATGATGGGCATTTTCTGTGTTGGGTCATCTCTGAATTAAGGTTGCCTCTCGGACTGTAACTGCTAGTCATGTTGTGGTCCTAACTTGGCATGGGTCACTTGTCACTTGACAAGAGACTGCAGCTGCTCCTTTTACTGTCTCTGCATTCAAAACATGTGTGAGGTTGACTCTGTCCATGTTAGGTTTAATTGCTCTGCAGAATTTCTTCAAAATGATCTTGCTGTGATTCAGAATTGACATGAAGTTATTATGTACACAGAAGGGCATAAGAGCAGCACATCAAGGCATGAAGCTGATATTGGTGGAACATGTTTGTTTTTCATTGCACGGATTCTTACAGAGGGATGGCATCCCTTTTGTGGAGCCTAAGTCAGGGGGCAGGCACACATGGGGGAGCTGTCAGCTTCGGTGATCTATGCTGTATAATAGGCATCCTGGACCAAGCAGTCCCAAATAACAAGGATTTATATTTCCTTGAACTTGGAGGTTGGCCTGGCTGGTCCTGGACTGGTTTTGCCTTGGTTCCAGCTGAGGGTTTGTGGGTTGGGGTATCTACCCAGCCTCACAGACATGTACTGGTTCTTGGGCACCTTGGTTTGTCTTCCATGTGGCTTCCTGCTTTCCAGCAGGGTGTCACAAGATGGAGTGTGTGTCTCCTTCCTGGGGAAGGCGTAAGAGACGTGCCTTGCACACTCCAGGCCAGAAGGCACTGAAATGTGCAGGTTGGTGTCAGCAGCTTAGAAGGTAATTCCCGATGATGGAGAAACCTCCTCCCCACACTGACTTGAGTCAGAAAAGTGATCAGAAGTCCGAGTCTGCACCACACCTTGGGTGCTCCACAAGCCTGTTGCCATCATCTTCTCCTTGTCCTTTTGTATAGGAGTTCTGTGATGGCAATCTGGGTTGAAATAGTTCTAAAATGGCTTTCAGGTAGCAGAAAACAGAGCTTGTCTCCAGTAAAGAGGCACTGTGACTTGGTTTAAATGGTGGTGCTCTTTCTTAGAGGTCCCTTCATATCTGTAAGATTCATGACATTTTGATCTGTTGAAACGAGAAGGAAAGTCACGGGGAACGACTGGACCAGGCCCCTGTGACGGTGTGTGTGAGAAGTGGGGGACACCAAGACTGACCAGGAGGAGGCAGGGCTGGTGTGGATCTACTTGAGTGGGTGTTCATCAGTGAGCGTGAGAGTGGAGAGAAGGGGCTGTGCATATCTTGCATAAAAGTGCTTCTGATGTCTGTAGAACCCTCGTGATTACGCGGAGCACTGGTCTGCTTCTGTGTTGGGGATGATCTTTGGGGATTCCTTAGAGCACAGTTCCTCAGTGCACTTCTTGCGGATTCAGTTGATGTCTGTTAAATCTTGTCTACTGTTCTGCCTTCTTTCTGTAGTAACCTGTTTGCAGCAGGCATCTTGCAGGGGTGTGAACTTCTCATTTAAACTGTCATAGGTCCCCCTGCAGAGTGTTTACAACACAGCAGCACTGTTTATCTCTTCTAGGTTCCCACTTTGGGCAGAGGATTGAAAAGTTTTTTCTAAATGAAGCAGAAAAACCTTAAACGGCACTGTTAAAAATGTTCATTTACCAAGAAAATGACACACACACAACCCCTAGAAGTACATTTTACGCATTGCATGTCTATCTTAGCTACTTTTCTCATTGCTGAGGCAAAATACCTGACACCAGTTCTCATTTAAACTGTCATAGGTCCCCCTGCAGAGTGTTTACAACATCTCTTCTAGGTTCCCACTTTGGGCAGAGGATTGAAAGGTTTTTTCTAAATGAAGCAGAAAAACCTTAAATGGCACTGTTAAAAATGTTCATTTACCAAGAAAATGACACACACACAACCCCTAGAAGTAAATTTTACGCATTGCATGTCTATCTTAGCTACTTTTCTCATTGCTGAGGCAAAATACCTGACACCTACAAGTTAAAGGAGGAGGGGTTTATTTCAGCTCACAGTTTGTAGAGGTTTCAGTCCGTAGTCGGTGGCTCTAAGGCAGGACAACATGGGTAGAAGGGCATCGCAGAGGAGAAACAGTCCATGGTGGAGCTGGCAGGGAGGCAGCAGCAGCAGCAGCAGCAGCAGCAGCAGCAGCAGCAGCAGCAGCAGCAGCAGCAGCAGAGGTTTATTTCAGCTCACAGTTTCTACAGGTTTCAGTCCATAGTCGGTGGCTCTAAGGCAGGACAGCATGGGTAGAAGGGCATCGCAGAGGAGAAACAGTCCATGGCGGAGCTGGCAGGGTGGCAGTAGCAGCAGCAACAGCAGCCTTCTTTCCCTTTCTCCGTTATGTGCATCCAGGCTATAAGCCCATTGGTTGGTGCCACCCGCACCTAGGGTTCTGCTTTCATTATCCATAGCAGCAGCAACAGCAGCCTTCTTTCCCTTTCTCCGTTATGTTGCATCCAGGCTATAAGCCCATTGGTTGGTGCCACCCGCACCTAGGGTTCTGCTTTCATTATCCACACCCAGAACTTTGCTAAATCCATTTAATTATTACATACCCTTAAATCCCATTGTAACACACCCTAAATCCACCTATAAGCACATGAGCTTTGTGGGGACCTCTAGATATGAGCCATGACAATACCTGAAATCCACTTTGCAGGCGGTCTCATTATGCAACTGGCTCCATTGATTTATTGCTTGGTAAAAGCAGTCAAGCACTGAAAAATACCTCTTCGTGAGCCTGTCAGTGTCTTATGGGGTCCAATAAACCTGAGGTTTTAATGCAATGAAAATAATTGAATGAAGCTATGCACTCTTATTTTGTTATATGAAGTTCAGTTTTGCAGCAACTGCATTTATTGTGATTTTAATATCATTTTCCAAAGAAGTAAGGACAATTTAATAAATGTTTAAAATTGTATTTATCTATTAAAATGAATATTTTATGGTGCAAGCCTCTAAAAACTCAGCAAATAGTAAGCATTGTATTTATATCACGTCAACAGTAAGTACCTTACTCCGCCTTCAGGCTTATGCCTAGGAGACCAATTCTATAAATTAAAGTTGTGTGTGGACACAGTCACAGGGATGCACAGGCTGAGATGGACACCTGCCCCTTAGCAGCAGGTCCAGCCTGCGATGTTCAGTGTAGACTCAGTACTTGGTTATTAGTTGATATCTGCTGGCTAATGACATCCAGGCCGCCGGCAATGGAGGAGACATTAGCAGTCTGAAGGTGCCATAAATGAGTTCAAACACTGCTCATTCCCACTTGCCTGACTGCTCCAAGCCAGGACTGTCAGCCAATGGGAGACTTGACCTGCTTCGGATGGACCCAGGACATGCACGTGGGGACCTGTGTTCTTCCCCAGGGTGGGCTGACACTGAGACAGGATGCGATTCAGATGGCCAAACCAAGTGGTGCCTCCTCCGTCACCTGGGAGGCTGCCCTTCTGCATGTGGGTCGAGATCATCTCGTAAAGTACCGTTTAAGCATAGGCAGACTGATCGAAGGAGGCTCTGGAGAAAAATAATGGTTCCTAAAGCAGGAAAGAGAAATAAATCCAGCATGCCTCAGGTTGATTTTCTGAAAACATTTGTACTAGGGAGAGAGACAAATGGCATGACAAGCAAGGGTCTGTGCCTTGTAATTAGGGCTCAAGCACATTTCAGAGGGGCCTGAGCCACAGGGGCAGGGAGAACAGGGTGGGAGGCTCCTGGTGCTGCAAGGCAGAGCCTTCTGTTTCCCGAGTGCACATGGCTGTGACAGCCAGCAGATGACTGAGTGCCGACACATTTGTCCCAGCCCTGGGTGGGTTATGGTGCAGCCAGGGGAGAACATACAGGTGAGGGATGTTCATGGAGTGGTAGAGGTTTCGGTGGCTTTGTGGGTGGCACGGGCACCCCACTTTCAGCTCGCTGGGTGGCCAGGTAGGGGTGGCCACCTGTCTGTGTTGTGTGCTTGCCTGTGTTGAAGCTGCTGTCCTGCTCTGGGATCGAGGGTGAGGCACCCGCCTTTGTCATTTCCTTTGGGTGTTATGCCAGAGCTAAGAAGGGAGATGTGGTGGGTGCCCTTCATCACAGAGGTCCCAGGCATGGCAGATGGGTCTCAGCAACGGGAGTTCAGAGACGCCAAGGAGAATCAGCTAGATCTTCAGGATCCCAGGCCCAGCTCACTCTAGATTCACGAGCACCATGGACAATTTTCTGTCTCTAAAACTGGCTGTACTGGGATCTCATCGCCTGTGCTTAGGCACGCAGTTTCAGCTCACAGGAAAGTCTTTGTAGGTAGAGTCGTTTTGGTCTCTTGGATGATGAGGTTGGAGAACTATTTTCGCACTTTAATTTTCAGAAGGAAAACAAAAGCAAAAACAAACCCTGTTAGTTTGATTGTGTGTAGAAGGTGGATGTTTTCAGTTTGGCATTTCTTAAGTGACATAGTGCACCTGAGAGAAATGTTTATTTCTATACTTTTGCCTGAATCTACTTACAAATACTTGAGTAAAGATTAAAATAAAAAAGAAAAACTAGAAAAAAAGACAACTTGTAGTTTAAAGATACCTGCAGTTGGGATGGAATTAAGATGGTGCTGGGAATTACTTCACTTCTATGCTGTGATTTAGTTGGGCTTTTTTTTCCCCCAGCTTTAATTGAGTTTATTGGTACATTTTAGGGATACAGTACAGTTACATTCATTGTTGGGATCTTGTACCTCTATGGGCTTTTTTTATTATTTGCTACAGATTAAAAAAATCTGGGCTTCCCTTTATTGTAGCCTCAAATAAAGTTGATTTCAAATAAAGCCTCACATGGCTGATTTCGTCAGAGGTTTCTCTCACAGGAAGGTCTGGCAGGAGTGGTTGTTGAGCAGCAGTTTTGAATCAGGCTTTAACGTGTGTCGGCAAAGGTCCCATGGAACCTCCGCTGACATTCTCAGTCCCCTGCTGTCACCCGTGGTCCCTCAGATGGGAGCAACCGGGCCATCTGTGGCTCATCCCCTATACCCCTGGCTGGGACCCAGACTGAGCTCTCCCCATGGAAGTGTGGAGGGAGGGAGCACAGAATTGTCTGTTTCTCTGCAGAAGCAAAATTGGAAGAACAGGATAGCAGAGGCTGTGCCGGAGGTGAGGCTTCCGGCACCTGCAGGACCTAAGACACCTTCTGCTCTCAATTTGCACCACAGGCGGAGTCCAAAGAGTCTCCCAAGCATGACAATATTCCACCCGAAACAAAGGATTCGGTTTACCATGCTAAAGAAGGAAGGAAGAAAACACCGGTAGAACCTTTCACCCCAAGTGGTGCAGGTAATGGGATGTCTCATTTTGTTGCCCACAAAGTGGAAACACTAACAGACTGGCAGTGCATGTGTGTGCAAGAATACTTCCTGACCTGTAACAGTCTGATCTTTTAAAATGACATGTTCAGCAGGTAGGCAGAGCCGGAAAACAAACATCTAACTCTGGAGGCAATGAGCTTCCCTGGGTAAGGAGGCAAAGATGGGTTGAAATTCAGTTTGGGTCCATGGGCACATCAGGGCTCCGTAAGGACCAGAGACCAGAAAATAGCGAGTGTACCCTTTGAGGGAAACTTGGATATAAAGACCACCTAGATTGTTCATGTGCACCTTTGGAGGATGGCTCTTCAGACTCGATTTTAAAATGGAATAATTTTAAACATTCGGTGACCGATCCATTGTCTATTCTTTTCCTGAGCTCCTCCTGGGTCCTGAGCACTGGGTGACGCCCTGTGCTTGTTCTCTTCTCTTCCAACCCCGCACCTCAGCTCAGGGCTTGTGGATGGGAGCAGAAGGGATGGGAGGAGAAGGACCAGGTGGACAGGTGTGGGTGGGGCGGGGCCAGCACCGTAGACCTGGAGGCCACGGGGCTCTGGTTTGGATGCTCGAGCTCGCCGTATTTGTGTCTCCTTGGAGGCTGAAGTTGGCTGTTTCTTCTCATCTTGTCTGTTGCTTTGGATGAGGTTGAGGATAAACTTTGCAAAGGCCTCATAATTCTATAAGCATTTAATATATTTCCAGTTGTCCTAAAATGCTTTCCAGCTGTTGATTAGAATGAGTACCTCCCACTACCCAGTTCTTAAATGTATTTTGCAGCTGTTTTCCCTCACAGCCTGTTCCAGGGGCCTGCTGTCTGGTGTATTTATTTCTATTCAGATCAGCTGGGCACAGGTTGGTCAGTGTGCACTGTCCTCGATGTGACTTGGACTGTCTGCCATGGTGGGTGGGCACTGGATGCCCATGACTTCCGGGGCCCAGGCCCTTTACAGAGCCAAAGACTCCGATACTGCAAGAACAGAGGCCTGTTGAGCTTGGACCACAAGGGAATCGGAAAGAAAGGGCGTGGAGCCAGGCCCCTGGCAAGGCTCCTGTTGCTGGCATTGAAGCTAGACATGCTGAGTTTTTTCACTCTGGTTTGGTTAGAAAATGAGCAATGCATGGGGCATAGTGGCGCACATCTGTAATTCCAGTACTCGGGAGGCGGGAGGACCACTGTGAGTTCAAGGCCAGCCTGAACTACCTGGTGAGACACTGTCTCAAAAGCAAAACAAAACTCAAGAAGCACAGTGGATTTCACTTTCCCCATTTCTTTGCAAACCTCATCCTGTCCTTTCTTCAGAAGGTGACGTGTACAAAGCCCGGACTCCTGCTAAGGACGCACAAGGGGCACTGGAGGTCAAGGAGGATCTGGATGTGAAGGTGGAAGTGCCGGTGGACCAGGTGGGTTGTGGGCCCTGATGCCTGGATGACTGCTCCGCAGCCCCTGCCTGCCTCAGCCGCTTCTTATGCCCCTGTCCTGAGTGCTGCTTGGCCTCTGGGAGGCCCACGCCCTCCGGCTCAGGCATTTCCTTCTGGCCCCTCCTGGAGCTGTTGGGCAGTGTGCTTTTCGGTCATCGCCTCGGCCTCTCACCTGCAGAGTTGGAGACCCCACGAGGGCACAGCCCGCACCTTGCAGCCCCAGGTCGGTAGGTGGCGCTGTCAGAGGGTGCTGTGGACCAGGGCTCAGAGTCCCCGTCTGCAGCTGGGAAACGCGGTGCTGGAGCGGGCTGCTCAGCCTCTGTCTTCTCGGGGGAGGGGCCTGGGTTGCCCCTTCCCTGAGGCCACCCGGGGTGCTTAGCTGTGGGGGACAAGGGGACAAGAATGGTCCTCGGTGTGCTGTCTTTTTATTCACTCAGTAGCTGAGGTTCCAGCCTTGCTCTCTTGTGTCTCTTCAGCACAGAATCCAGCTAATCAGCCAGTTTTCTACTCCCGCTACCCCTTTATTTTAACTTCTCCTGTTTGTCTGTCCCGCATTATTTTTTACAACCCTGCGTTGATTTAAACTTGTGCTTGATTTAAACTGACTTCTGCTTCTGAATGCATTTGGAGCACCTTGTCCCCCTGTCCCACTGTGTTTTCTAAATTACTACCGGTGTTATTTGCTTTTTTCCTGGAGATGATTTAAGAAATGTTCGATAGATTTGGTTTTCTGTCAAACCCCAAAGTAACAGTTGCGATATTTTTGTGCACATTTACGTTTATAGTAAGAAGGAAATGAGCACATTTTAGGCAGGTAGCTTTATGTCACGTTGGTCCTTGTTGTTTGATGTATTACTGCGTATTTTCTGGGTTGCATGTTATAAGTGTGTGACATTAATTTTATTTGATTTTTTTTTCTCTGCGGTGCAGGGGCTGGAACGCAGGCCCTCGGGCATGGGAGGCAGGTGCTGTACCTCTGAGCCACATCCCAGTTCTGGGCTCAGATTTACTTACTTATTTTTAATTTTTATCAGTCCATGTTTGCGGCACATGGTTGTATCACTCGCGGGGAGTGGGTGCACACTCATAACTCTTCTCCTCAATTCTTTTTCCCACTCTTTTTGCCTGCCCACTCCTTCCATCTCTTGGTCCCTTTCCCTTTCAAACTTGTCTATCTCCTTGTCATGTATCCTCTATCTTTTATTTTGCCCTTTAATTATGTAAGCTTTGGGTTTCCCCATAAAAGAGAGACAATGTGATATTGAAATTTGTGTTTCTGATTTATTTCGCTTAACATGATGGTCTCAAGCTGCATCTGTTTTCCTACAAATGTCTCACATTTATCCTTCTTTATGGCACAGTAGTAGTCTGCGGTGTATAAATACAGTGGACCCTTGACTTATGAACTCAGTTTGTTCTCAAGGGCCTGGTTGTAACACACGTTGGTCAGTTGAAGGCTCAGCTCCTCTACACAGCCTTCAGTCCATCTCCTGTACACAGGCGGATCTCAGTGTCCTCAGAGAGGCATTGGCCCGGGACTTTTCACTTAACCCCGTGTGGGAAGGGACGTTGTCGTGTTCCTTCAGAACTCCTTGAGACCATCTGGAAGCCCAGTGGCTGGCATTTGGGTCATAACTCATGACTGGTTGTAAGTGAAAGCTAAAATTCTGGTCATAACCCGAGTTGTTTGTATGTCGGGCCAGTTGTAACTCGAGGGTCCACTGTATCACATTTTCTTTATCTGCTCATGTACTGATGGATGTAGAGGCCGCTTCCAAGATGTAGCTGTCATGGGCGGTGGTGCCATAGCCATGGGCGTGCCCGGGTCACTTGAAGTCTCCCAGGAAGACACCGAGAAGAGGGGAGCTGGGCAGAGGGGTGCAGGCTGACTGTGGCTGTGTTTTCTTCCTAGGCACCAGCTGAAGTGGTTAAAGAGGTTGACGATGCATGTGACAGCAGCCCTAAGTTTGGGGGCATCAAGGTGAGCTGCTCCGACCTCGTGTCTGCAGGCCCGGCTCAGCGCCTGCTCCCTGGTACTCCGGGGAGAGCGTGCAGGACCGCAGGGGAGCATCCCAGCTGTGTGTGCCTGGTGCTGTGCTCGGCTCTGGCACCCTGTGTGCGGGAAGTTGTGGGGTCATTTCAGCGGCCTTTACCCTTAGTGACCCCTCACTGTGCTTCCCAGGGGCGAGGCAGGAGGTGGAGGTGGAGGCGGCTGTGGGCAGTCCATGGTGAGTGGGCACCGCATCACTGGCCTCGTTGGGGACATGGCTGGGTGGACCTGGGTTCTGATCGCCTTTGCTCCTCTGGGCCAGGCATCGGGCCACTGGCTGCAAGAAGTATGTGCGCCAGGAAAATAAAGTTTACCATTCAGCTGCAGAGCCAAGACGTGGGTTTCTGAGCTCTGTCTCCAACTTGCCTTCTCCTCATGTCTTTGGAGGTGATCTTTCTCCTCCGCATGTTTGGGGTGCGGGGATCTGGAGCCAGGTCTGAGTCTGTGTGGATGCCGGGCCTCCAGAGTTGTACCTGAACTTGGGGTGCAGGTGGCCCCGTGCACTGTCACCTCGGCTCTAAAGCTGCTTCTCTGACCTTGAGTTTAGGACAAGGGAAGTGACTGCCAGGGCCGGAAGAGGACCCTGGTTCTTTGCCAGGTGGCGAAGGGCATTGGTGAGGAAGGCACTGGCCCTCGGGAAGTTTGTTCAGGGTTTTAGAAAACATCAAAGGAGCTTGGGATCCAGAACAGCTTAAAGGAACTGTGCCAGCCCAACACAGTGGTGTGCATCTCTAATCCAGCACTCTGGGAGGCGAGGCAGGAGGATCACACATTTAAGTCCCACCTGGGCCACTTAATGAGTCCCTGTCTCAGAATAAAAACCAATAAACAACTGGAGATGTTGCTCAGTCTGAAGTCTCTGACTTCAATCCCCAGTACTGCTGCCCCCAACCATACGTTGTTTTTCCCCTTTAACCATTTTCAAACATACCATTCAGTGGCATAACTTGCAACATTATATACGTTAAAGACGTTTTCATCCCATCAGGCAGAATGTCTTACCTTTCTCATTGCTGAGACAAAATACCTGACACCCAAAGTTAAAGGAGGAAAGGTTTATTTTAGCTCAGTTTGCAGATGTTTTAGTCCACAGTCGGCTGGCTCCAAGGCAGAGTGGCATGGTGGAGAGGCCTGGCGAGGGAGAAACAGCCCATGCAGGGAGGAAGGCAGCAAGGCAGCAAAAGTAGTGAAGAAGCAGCAAGCAACAAGCAATAAGCACAGCAGCCTTCTTTCTGCTCCCTGTATCCTACCTACCCAGGCCGCTAACCCTTGTTGGGGGGTAGCACTCACACCTAGATTGGGACCCCCTTAAGCCTAGCTTGGCACCATGAAAGCAATCCCAGCATCACATCCTCAATCCCAATATCATGCACTCTATATCAAGCCAGTATTTGGCACGTTCATAATATTTTCTGTCTTTCAAATGAAATGTTGTTAATCTGAATTAACTGATTTCGACTTCTGTGAACTAATAAAAGAGAAATATATTCTTTGTCCTTTTACCTATTTCACATTGTGTTCATTGAGCACTATTTTATTTTATTTTTGTTTTTTTTGAGACAGGCTTCCATTATGTAGTGCAGGCTGGGCTTCAACTCACTATGTGTAGCCTAGGCTGGTCTTGAATTTATGGTGATCCTCCTGCCTCAGCCTCCTCCTGGGCATTGGAATTATAGGTGTACACCACCATGCCCAGCTAAGCATTATTTTATTTTATTTTAAAGCCTATTTTAATTACATGGGTGTTGAGTACAGACAGAGTTGGGCTGGCCAGAAATGTTCTCCAATTCTTATTGCTTGGCCTGTGTCGACGCATGCATTGCAAAATGTTTTATGTATAAGCAGCATGTTTTTAAGTCCATACTTCTGTTAAGTTTGTAAAACATGTTTAGAAAAGCCCAGGATAGGGAGGGAGGATGTCAGGTCCTGTGTTGCCCTGAGGATTTTCTGACCCTTTTCACAGTCTTCTGGCTTTGCCTACCTTCGAGAAGGCTGTGACAAATTTCCTGGTTGATTTTTTGGACTCAGAAGAGAGGGAGGGAAAGGCAAAGCACCGAGGTTCTGTCTCTTCGGGAGCACACTGTGCTTTCTGCCCCACTCATTCGGAGGTGCTGCCTGCTGCCCCCATCTGCCCGCTCTCACCTCCCAGGCTCCCTTCAGACCTTGCTCTCCTCCTCCAGCTCCCTGGTGCCACGAACGATGCCTCCCCACGTTGGCCTCTAGCAGCGTCGTGTTTGAACTCCTGGCGCCGTGCAGCCACATCGGCTTTTGCTGCAGTCATTGCGTGCCCCGCTGTCACGCAGCAGATGGGTGGGGGTGTGTGTAGGAGAGACGTGGGCATAGCGGTGCGGTTTGGAGGAGGCCTGCGCCCATTCCCAGAACTGGCACCTTTAGTGCCTTTCACATTCCCTGCACGGAGGAGAAGCTGATCTCGAGTCTGATGGTGAACCTGGAGCATAATAGGTAACCTTGGCCCAGCTGGGGAGGCAGGACAGGAGCTGCTGGCCCAGAAGGCTGGGGTGTGGTAGGGCCCGTCCGGGAGAGGTCCCCAAATGAAGGGACCAAGAGTAGAGGCAGGGGACAGAGAGGAGGGACGGTGGCGAGATGAAAAGAGGGTTGAGATGTGTCCTGTGCATGCCAGTCCCCAGAGTGAGGGTGATTGTGTGTGCTGCCAATGTGGGCTCATAACAACGAATAAGAGGAAAGGTACAGATGGACGTCCAGGGAGACTCAAGAGGCTGTAGATAAGAAGTCATCATTTGTGCCCAAGGCCAAAAATATTTCTCTAGGTGAAAATTAAACATTTTTCATTGGAAAACACTATACAGGCAGAAGTTAACCCCAGAGGCCAGAGGGGTGGCTCAGTGGTAGGACCCTAATGTGAGGGCTTGGGCTTAGTTTCCAGCACTACAAAAGAACAAAAGGTGTTGACCAAACTAAGGAGGAAAGTAATGGCCACACAAATCAGATTTTCTTCATTTACAAGGAGCATCATAAATCAATTCAAAGACAGCCCAGGTAAATGAAGCAAATAGGAAATTCACTGAGAAGAAGACACTATTCACAATATTCAGTACACTGTGAGTATAGTATATTCATAGTGAGTTTTTTCTCTTAAGTCATTTTAACAATGTCCAGTATTAATACATCCAGACTGAGGATTTATTTTACAGTATTCTCATAGATAGTTGCATACGAGATTGAGCTATATGTATAGATTCAAGAAGGCAGGAGTGGGCTGGGGATTTAGCTCAGTGGTGCCGCTGCCTGCCTCACAAGCGCAAAGACCCGAGTTCAATCCCTGCTACCAAAAAAAAAAAAAAAAGGCAGGAAGGCAGCAGTATTTTGTAGGGTTGACATATAGAGTGGCCTAACCTTTTAGGGAAGGAATTTGGCCTTTGTGTTGAAATTAAATAAATGCATATGTTGTAAGCCATCATCTTGGTAGGTAGGACTATCCTACAAATATAATAGCAATGACAGGAACAAATACAGCTTTCATCCACAGGGGTTGGTGGTCAAGTGCGGCACCCTTCCTAGAAAGTAAAGCAGGACCACACTGAAAAGAGTAGTGTGGACCCAGACGGACCGAGTTCTGGGAGCTGCAGGTGTTCATCGGGGCGCAATGGAGAATATAATGTTGCCTTCTGTGTAGAAATATTTAACAGGCTGTGTATAAAAATAAAGAATTTAGGATGGGATAGGTGTGGTGCTCAGCGACACAGGAGGGAGGGAGCATCATAATTGCAGGAAGGGGGTGTCCAGGGCTCTGAAGCAAACTCCAGCTGGTATCTATGGTGGTGAAGAATTTGCCTGACAAACAAATGAGGAGGACAGGGGAGGTTAAGGGTTTACAGGATGAGATGGGAAAATGTGGTGAATGCTTAAATTAAAAAAAAGTTATTGTAGTAAAAGACACATCACCATGAATTCACCTCAAACCCCCCCCCCTTGAACACACTCGTCCCATCATCCTCACCACTTCCTGCAGCAGCTCTGGATTCCTCTTTCTTGAGGGTCTTTAGTTGCGCTGTCCTGAATGGGTTGAAAACATCTCCCTTTCATGGTCATTGTGACTCTGGGGAAGAGCCGGGAGTCACATGGTGGCAAATCTGGTGACTAAAGTGGATAAGGGACAGCATCATGTTTTGATGAGCTGCCTTTTCCACTGGATGGCCCTGGGCAGCAGAATTTACTGTATTTTTTATCACACCTGGTAAAGACCCTCAGGAAAGAGGACTCTGGAGCTGCTGTAGGAAGTGGCGAGGACGATGGGAGGAGGGTGTTTGAAACAGCAGGGATCTAATTGAGGGGGTTCATGATGATGTCTCTTTTACTACAATAATTTTTAAATTTAAACTTGCACCATCTCTCTGATTACTTTCTTGTAGGTAAGCATCTTTTTTTAAAACATACTTAATTCCTATATTTTTTTAATAATAGGAAAAAGAAGAAGAAAGGTGTTATGAAGATATTGAAAGAAAGGTTTGTATGAACGCACGATAATTTTGTTTCCCATTCTGAAGATGAGTCAGCTCATGGGCCCTCAAATCTTGCCATTTGCTCTTTAGGAAAACAGCTTCTGTACCCGTCATAGCTAAACCTTCTCTCTGCTCCCGGAGTTCGAAAACAAACTCAGAGGAAAAGAAATCCCACAGCATGGAAAGTCCTGCACCATGGCCTGTCCTCTGTAAATGCCAAGAACTCCTCTAGAGCTGCCTGGGTCCTCCACCCCAGGCTTTGGGCTCACTCTGCGCCTCCAGCGAGCCCAACACTGCCCCTGGGGACCCCAGCCTGGGTCAGGCTCTGGCCAGCCGTGTCCCCGCCTGGTAACTGCGTGTGTTCTGGCTCAGGCTTGGCATGGCCCCCTTTGTAGGGGCTCAAGCTCCTGGAGTAATGTGATTTCTCACGGGGTATGCTTTTGTGACGATGGTGCAAAGTAAGACTTATGAAGAACAAGGCCCCCAGCAATAAATTGGAAAATGTAAACTAAAATCCTAGATCACAAATCTCAGTGTTGAGCTGTCCGGCTTCTGTCCTGTACAGGACCGGCAGCGATTCCCTAGAAAAGGAGCTCGGGTGCACCTTGGGACAGTCGGATGTGGGGTTTTTGACTTGTAGGAGGGGGTGGGAATATGGGGTCGTCGTGGTGATATAGATGTGGCAAGACAGGTTGCCACGGGGATGTTCCAGGAAGAAGATGAAAGGACACGTTGTGAGACTTTAACAAGGCTTCAACATCGAGTAGGACTTTAGCTAAAAATAAGCATGCTACCCACGAACAGAAGTACCCCAAATCAGATATTGAGCACTTAACAGGCATCTGTTTAGGAAGTGGTGCCTTATGTAGGTTTTGGGACAGCCCCATGTCTGACTACATCGAGGCAACAGCCAAACTTTTCGAACATCAAGTGTTCTGTGTGATGGCAAAAAAAGGGCAGGCTCTGTCTGCTTTTGAGGCATCTGTCTGTATTTTAGTGCATTGGAGAAACGAGAAAAAGCTACCAAGTGTAAAAACTTACCAGCAGATCTGCGTCTGTGATTTCATCCATTCCTTGGGATATCTGTGAACTTTCAAAATGTGTGTGATGGGAGTGTCCCTTGTGCCGCCGAAATCTCCATGACTACACATTGCAGGGGAATGGAAGCATCACTGAGGACGGGCTGGCGGGGCGGTGGCAGTGTGCCTGGCAGGCTTAGCGCTTGACCTTCCTGCCCAAGAAAGCACTGGGTGTAGCTCAGGAGCTGTGGAGCCCGAGCACACAGTGCCTGGGGTGGAGGGAGGTGAGCAGGGCCTTTTCCTGCGGCGATTTCCAGACTTGTTGGTACTGGGGTGTTGGCCCCATGTTTCTCCTGAAGAGAAGACAATTCTTATATTTACCTCATAGTTAAGATGAGCGTTCTAGTCTGATCTCCTTCTCTCCCTAGTGCTGTATGTATGTTTGTTTGTGAATCACCTCTCCCAAGAAGTATCCCCTCTGGTCTGCTCTATTTTTCCTCCCCTCCCCTCCATTCCCCTCCCCTACCTTCTCCTTTCCCCCTTCTCTTCCTGTCTTTTTTTTTCTTCTTCTCCTTTGTCTGTTCTTCCTCTTTCATGCACTTTCTCCCACACTCCTGTTGTTTGGAGGCAGGCGGCAGCACCACTGAGCTAAATCCCCGGCTCTCCCCACTGTTCATGTGAGGCACGATCTCGCTATGTAGTTCAAGCTGGCCTTGAACTCACTGTGTAGCCCTGGCTAGCCTAAACTCATGGCCGTCTTCCTGCCTCAGCCTCTGGAGTGCTGGGATTGTAAGCATGTGTGCCACCGTGCCCAGCCTGTGGTCACTTCTGAGCACCTTTCTTCGAGCAGTTAGGCATGTCATTTTCGAATATTCTGCCTTTTCCCACTTGTCCCCCAGCTATTTGTGTGTCCACGTTGTCAGGGCTTTGTTTTTCTCCTGGGTCAGGGCTTTGTGGCTGGCATTTGCCTTTGGTCCATTGTCTCCTCTCCTTGCCAAGCTGTGCTACCTCCTCAAAACTTCCTTAGTAACCCACCCAGAGCATTCTAGGATGAGACTATAGAATGAGAGATTAGATCATGATTTTTAGTTTCATGTCATAGGGACCTGGGAATTTCAGCCACAATTTGGGTGGGTTTATAATGAGAAGAAAATTTAAACTAGAAATCTCTGTTGTCTGGCTACTATTACTCTGGATTCTTTGATTATTTTGTTTAGAAAAACCATGATCTACCATATCTATCTTTTTGTTTTGTTTTGTTTTTGTTTTTGGAGACAGGGTCTCAATATGTAGCCCAGGCTGGCCTGAGCCTTTTACCTGTCTCCTGAGTGCTGGGATTAAGATGTGCCCACCACGCCCATCTCTTAGCTTTCCGTTTCTTCTTGTTGTGACTCCATTCAGATTCATACTGTGTTAAGAAACCTCCGGAGACGGAAATCTTAGCAGCTTGCTGCAGGGTCTGAAGGAGACGGGTGTGGCCAGTAGATGTAGCTCATGCTTAGGGCACCACGGGGCTAAGAAACATGGGGCCTCATCCAGGATTTTCCCAGAGAGCCTGAGACCAGGGCAGGTAAAACAAAACAAACAACAACCCCTCCAAATAAAAAACTAAACAACACAAACCAAAGCGTGCATTTGATATGCTACTAGCTGTAACACCAGCAACCAAACAGAGCCACCTTTTAGAAATAAAAGTAGCGACTTAGATCGGTTAGCATAAACAAGTGAATGATTTAACAGGCTCACTGAATGCTTAGCTCAGAACACTGGATGTTTCCCTTCACCCACAGCTGCCGGTGAGAACGCTACTCAGGCCTCGAGCTGAAGCGAAATAATCGCAGATCCATAGCAGTGATTTACTCTGGTGTCGTGTGCTTTTCTAGTCACCCAGCAGTGGTTTCCATCTAATTAAACTGCCAGAAATGACAATAAGGCCAGGGTCCTTACATCGCAGATCCATAGCAGTGATTTACTCTGGGTGTCGTGTGCTTTTCCAGTCACCCAGCAGTGGTTTCCATCTAATTAAACTGCCAGAAATGACAATAAGGCCAGGGTCCTTTGGATCTACTGTTGTCTCTCACTCTGGATTTTTGTGACAAAATGAAAACCACATTGATTCTTGAATTGATCTTTAAAATTCATGGCCTGCTGATTCTCTTTCCTATTTTTTCTTTTTATTATCTTGATACTACTCTGTCATTACAGTGAAGTCTTTTATTGCTTCTGTAAGAGATGAGGTCACTATTGATCGACACTAGTCTTGAAAGCTAAGTGTGAGTCATCAATAATGCGAAGTAGGGTCATGGTGAATTAAGTATTAAGCAATGAAATTTTCACAGAAAAATATAACTTGGTCCTCTATGTGGAGGAGATCCAATTGGATTCAAATAAAAAGAAATTTTGTACTTTAAAATGGAAAGGATACTTCATCTCCCTCACACAGCAGATTATATTCTGTATGTATATAATGCAAATTGTTAATAGAACTCAGGTACTGAGTTGGTGTCTTAGAGCAGTCAGGGACGAACCAATTAGTTTTTTCATATTGTGGCTCGATGGGGACAGTTTTGTTGTGTTCATGGCCATTTTAGAAATGGCTCCAGTCTGGTCTGGAGAAGTAGCTGGAAGGAGTCAGTGCGATTTTGCTGTGAGCAGCCTTTATTTTTTTCTTCCAAGTACTGGGTACTGAACCCAGTGCTTTTGCATGGAGTTGCCTCCCGAGCCCTTTAACATTTTTTTTATTTAAAAAATTTTTTGGGACAAGGTCTTTCTAAATTGCTGAGTTGCCCAGGCTGGACTCAAACTTGAGATACTCTTGCTTCAGCCTCCTGGAGTGCTGGGATTACAGGTGTGTGTCACATGACCAGCTGTGAACAAACTGTTAGTGTTAGCGTAGTTATGTCCCATGGTTTAAGCATAGATGTATTTTGTATAACTTTATTCCAAACTTGGAAAGCCTAATGTATAGGAATAAGCCATACAGAAAAACCTTAGCTCAGCTTACTGGTCCTGTCTGAGCTGTGGGCTGGCCCTTGGCTCACTGGCTGTTACAATGCAGGACTTTTGGGATGTGTGGTCATCTCACCAAACTTCTGTTGCTGCAGGGTGACAGGTCCTTAGAATGTGGCCATGTGACTCATGGAACATTGCAGCAAGAGGAGGAGGAAAGCCTGTTATCTACACTGCCCTCCTTTTCCACAGTTACAGAGAAGCAAGCTCTAGTTTTTAAAATGTCTGACTCATTTATAATTAGAAGAAAAACACGCACTAACCTGGAGATTAGGTTTCTGTGAACTTAGCCATGGTCATAAATCCAATCTTTAGACACAAAAAGCAGCATTTCCCATTTTCATTTGTGGGAAGGCCTAATGAGAAATCTTTACTGGCTGCCTCCGCCATGCTTGGTGAATATGCTTTTAGGTGAATTTATTACCTAGTTGCCCTAAACTGACAGCAATATTTTGGAGGAAAATAATTTGCTCTCCCATACATAGTTTAGAGGAAAGAAAATCAGAAACTGGACCAGGAAAGGCACTCCAGAGTTCCTGGCACTTGGACTTGACAAGCGAGGGAAGGAGGAGCCTTCTTTCTTTTTCTCACATATCTTCCTAAACTGGGCAGCTGTTCCCCCAGGGAAAGCAGAGATGAGAGAGGGCAGGAGCGGTGCCTCCGAGCTGGGTTTGCCCTTCCAATTGCCCTCAAGGCCTTGTGTCTATTCAGCCCAGGGGCTTGGTTCTTCTTTTCTCAGGGTTGTTGGCATTCTCACTTGAAGGAGACACATCCATGGCGCGCCTGTAATCCCAGCACTCTGGAGGCTGTGGCAGGAGGATCTCTGTGAGTTCAAGGCTACCCTGGGCTACACAGTGAGACCCTGCCTCGGGAAAAAAAAAAAAAAGGTTAATAAATAAAGTTCACATTTTCTGCTTGTAAACCGAATAAATAGAAAGGGACAGGCTTTTTAAAAAAGCTGCAGTATATGAAAAAAATCACACTCAAGAGTACATGTCACAAAGATAAAATATCGTTTTGTTCTTAATGCACTATAGGATCTCTAATGGTGAGGCATAAATGGTAATCTTTCTTTGACTTTAAGAAAATTTGTGAATCTATGTTTGCAGTATATAACGATCACTTTCCTCCTTAGAAGTTGGTTCACGGAGAGGAGGAGAGCACATCTTCATTCTTTTTCCATCCCTTTCCCTCCCCTCTCTATCCGCTCCCTTCATCTCTTGGTCCTCCTCCCTTTGGCCAAATCTCTTCTCTTTTGCCAACTCCGTTTCCTGTTGTCTCTCTTTTATTTTGCTTTTGGGTACATTGATAACTTGGGTTTCTCAGGCAGCTTGGGAATGCGTTGATAAATGTTGCAGGCGCAGCTGCCCAGGGAGTCCTCCAGTGCAGCCGAGCTTAGGGGTAGGTGGAGATGTTTCTGAGGTGCAGGCACCTCTCAGCATGGCCGTGCCACTGCTGGCCGCCCACACACCCTGCGTTCCATGCATCTGCAGCTGATCGGTGGCTGGTAGCAGCTCCTTGTTGCGGAAGCCCTGGGGTCCCTGGGATCTCAAACTCCTGAGCCAGTAGCATCGCTGGGAAGAGCTCTTCTCAGCCCCTTCACACAGTGAGAGAAGAAATGGAAATATCGCTTTGTTGATCTCAATGCTATTTTTAATGCTGTTTTTCATTTTCCTATTACAATGTTTTGGGTCAACTCCACATCTCCAGGGATGGGGTCAAGGCTCCCTGCTAGGGTTGGCTGCAGACGCAGTAAGATGGGGACCCGCTTGCCTGTTGTACCCTTTGCTGCTTTGCCCAGAGTCCAAAGGCAGACAGAAAGGTGTACAGCAGGGTGGGCAGATCATGCCAGAGGGGTGTGGAATACATTTTATACACAACACTCTAAATTTTTTGGGGATGTATGCAGATGGGCAGTTGACCATGGAAATCAGATTGGAAAAATTAAACCAACTGCTGCTATCTAAGTAGGTGAAGCTGATGATTTCTTTTTTTTTCCAAAAGAAAGAAGAAAATCCTAGTTCGGAGAGTCTCTCTACAAATGGTGAGCTTGAAAGTTTGTAGCCGCGTTTGTTTTAGGCCTTGGAGGTTTGATATGTGAACAGGAAATGGGAGTGGACTCACCATGCTGCTGTGGGAATGAAGGCACAGGTCGTACCCACTTCTTGTGAATGCCCGGTGAATCCTGCCGTGCTGTCCATTGGAGCAGTGGTCCTCAAACAAGATTTTAAGGACTTCCTTATATTTGTAAATATTATTGAGAACCCCAAAGAGCCGTGTTTTTTGCTTTATCAGTTCATGTTTACAGTACAGAATGATTACATTCATTATGAGGAGTTGGTGCATGTACGTAATACCTCTTAACTCTTTTTCACCCCCTTCCCCCCTCCCTCCCTCTCCCACCACCTCTTAATCTTTCCTTCTTTGAAAGATCTATCTCCCTTTTTCTTATTATCGGATGCAACATTATATCATTCATTTTCCTACAAATGATTCAAGTTTATCTCTCCTCCTCCTCCTCTGCCTCTTCCTCCTCCCAGGTACAGTGCCACTGAAGTACATCCCTGGCCCTTTTATTATTTATTCAGGCAGGGTCTCACTACATAGTTCAGGCTGGCCTTGAACTCACTATGTAGTTCAGGCTGGCCTTGAGCTTGAGGTGATTCTCCTGCCTCAGTCTCTCAAGTGCTGGGATTACAGACATGCACCACCGTGCCTGGCTAAGCTTATCCTTATTTATGGCAGAGTGGTACTCCACATTGTCTTTGTTTATTCACCTGTTGGTGGACATATAGGCCTCTTTCAGGATTTATCTACCAAGAGTTCATACATTTGGAATGAAAGAAGAAATCTAGCAAGATTTACTTATTGATGTATTTAAAATAATTATAATAAATTAATTACAGCACTATACATAACTGTTTTTATGAAAATGAGTTCTGTTTTGGTAAAGAAACCATCATCCTGTAAATAGAGAGGTATTGTTTTACATTTGGGCAAATCTCTTTGGCCAATAGAAGGCAGCCAATTCTAATATTCCCTTCTAAATTGATTTGTTGCTCATTACTCCTTTGGTTAAAGTAGCTCAAGAAAATCCAGCCTCATGCAAATAGTGCTTGGAAAGGAGAAGTATATTTTAATAGTTTTTTTGACCCATTGGAATTTCTTTGGTATTACACTAAAACTTGACAGTGGTAATTTCTTAAAGATTAGGTGCAGTTTGAATTAGAAACTTTATCTGTGAGGTTTTATTCTTTGTTGCTTTAATGTTCATTGTTATAAGCTTGTACTTTGAATGGATTTTTCCCCATGCATGACTTTGCATCATGATGCAAAATTTGTTCATTTAAAAAATGGTGGGCTATGCACATGTTAACACGTTCCATTATACAATATTGAAAAGTCTCATGCATTGATATTTCTACCAATATCTTTCGAAAAGACTTTTAATTGTGGGAAGCTATCAACCACATGTATACATATTGAAGATTCTGAGCTGTTTTGAATGTTCACATTTTATTATTGGGCCCAAACACTTGGTTGTTTTCATGACTGTTATAGGCTTACTTTGTGCAAATAAAATGTCTTCCATGTAGCTGGGAATAAATACATATAGTTTGCTACTCCTGCACTCAAGTAGAGCAGTTGTGATGGCTGAGGGGATTGGTGGTGCACACTTCTGGATGTGTCTTGTTGAACCATGGAAGTGTGCTTTGGGTACTCTATATTGTCCCTGGCCTCTTCCCCTCTGTCACCACTTTCCTTCTCTGCTTCCTGGCCACCGTGAACCAAGCATCTTTGCTCTGCCATACCCATCTGCCATGATGTTCCTGTCTTGGAGCAGCTGAATACGGACTGAATCCCCTCAAAACATGAGCCAAATTAAATTTCTCCTTTAAGTTGTGGGTATCAAGAATTTTGTCCAGCACCAGGAAAGATGAGCAATACAACAGAATTCCAGGAACCAACCGGCTAGCTCAGCTCGATACTCCACCAAGCACATACATGGTATTATGATGTGGAGCAGGAGCACTTCATGGATGCCACTCGATTCCTTTCAGAATATCCTAGGGACGTAGTTCCAAGGTCAATATTTAGTAACAGTGATAATTTTTATCTTTCCATTACATGTTAAGGAGCCCTCTTTCCCCCAGAATTTCAAGTGTACTGTAGTGAGGAATCCATTGACTATTATTTTGGATCCCTGGCTTGGTTTGTCCTTGGGCATTTGCAGAATTCCTTGTGGTCTTTGTGCACAGGCAGAGTGGCAAGTCTTAGTGTGAACAGGAACATGCTTTGGACATTCCCAAGCCCCTGAATGGTGCTGTGGATGGCTTGGCATCCACAGATCACCTTTGGATCAGCAGTGCATTCAGTTAGGTTGGGGAGTTGGAGCACATCGGTAGAACAAAGCATTTCATTTTTGGTGGGAGGTCTTCTAGCACTGTGTCCACGCCGGGCTCCAGGATCTGGCAGAGGTGTGCGGAATAGAGGCGGAGGAAAGGCTGTGTAAGCCTTCCTGGATGGTGGCCTCCTCCCTTCCGCGGTGTGGTGGGCCTGCTGTGAGGAATGAATGACATGATTCATGGACAGTGCAGTATCCAGAAGAGTTTGAGAATCGTCATTATTTATCTTTGACAGAGAAATTAAAAATAGTTTCATCCAAATCATTACAGCATATTAAATGTTTTATTTGCACGTCTGCAGTACGCACCGTTTGCATTCCTCATGGGGAGTTGTTGCGTGCACTTAACCCACCTTAATCCCCTTTCCCCTCCCTTTCCCTTCCCTCCCTCCTCCTCCCTCCATCTTTTGGCCTCCCGTGGTGCGTGGTGGGCTCTGTCCTCTTTCAGCCTGGAACTGCGGTGGGCTGTGTCTCTGCGTCTTGGAGCAGAGGAGCAGGTTACCTAGTAGTGTGCCTCCCTGCACCCAGAGCTGCTCCTTGCTCCTGCTCAGAGGAGGAGGGCTGGATTCTGTCCTCTCTCAGCCTGCAGTGGGCTGGGTGACAGGCTGCCATTCTCCTCAGCAGCTTGGAGCTTGTCCTGTAGAGGATGCACTTCGCCCTCACCTCTGCCTTCAGCCTGCCCACCCTCCCCAGGACGCCCAGTGGGAATCTTCTCATCTCCCTGCTGGGCCTCTCTCCCTGGTCCTACACCAGCTTCTGGGAAGTGAGGTTCCTGTCCTGCATGTCCTGAGAGGGGTATGGCTTCAGGCTTCTCGATTGCTCTGTGACCTCTCTCACCTGGCTGATGGGTTCAAGGTTACAATTTTGCAGATGATCTGGCTTTTTATTTGTTCCATTTGAGGCGATTCTCCAGTTTTTTGCCTTCCAAGTTGAGGCTGGATCACTGTTGCTATGGAGTGTGTTGGGAGGGGTGGTTGTTGGTGGAAAAATTGGTGTCACCCAGTGCGGACAAGGCGCAGGTCCTGTTCTCTGCACCTGGGTTTGCTGAACTAACCTGAGTCGAGTCCAGCAGATTGGGACTGGATCCTGTTTGTCTAGGCAGCAGTGACCTGGCTGGCTTCATGTGTCTTGTCTGGCCCCAGGCTGGAGTAAGGCTGATCCTCACTGTGTCTGGGAGATCAGTGACCTCCAAGCTCTGGTTTCTATGCATGGGAAGTCCTTGTAGAGTTCGTCGACACCTTTGGTGCACAGTTCTCATGGTGGGTTTCATGTCAGCAACCACGTGTAGCTGAGAATTCTGGTCCATGTTCCAGGGCTACAGTATCCGCTGCTAACACTGCCGGTTTCTGTTTCAGGGAGACAATTCAGGAGTGCCTTTTAAGAAAATGTTTCCCTTAAGACACAACACAAAGAAAAAAGGTATGTCCTGTAGATGTTGAAGATGTAGAAGTGTATATACTGTGTCGTAACTCAGCCACAGATGAGAATGCTTGTAAAATCCCATGGTTAACAGCTCATACACAGCTGTTTAAGTGTGTCTCTTGAATTAGTTAAAATGTTCAGAGAAGACTTTGTAGAAAAAGGTTACTTCCTGCCCAGTTTGCCCTCTGTGTCCACCTGAAACCCCTTAGCAGTGCCACCAAACTGTAAGTTCTTTACCTGAATTTCTTTGTTTACTGAGAATCATATATATATATATATAT